TCGAATTTTTCTCTATTCTTTTTTCTCATATTCTTGTACGATCACTATTTTTCTGAAAGGATAAAGAAGATAAAAGTTGAAATTATTCAGTGAATTATATTCACCATAGCTAAAAATTCCACGTACGATATTTTTCGCTTAAAAAGAGAAACGAAAATCAACTTTGAAAAAAGAAACAAAACTCCGTTCCGAAAAAAATTCCGATTGTTCATCTAAAAGTTAGTAATAGAATCATTGGAGCGTTCTCGTTTCGTGCGTTCACCTCAATGAATGTGGTAATTTGTGCACGAATCATGTCTTTATGAGCTTTGCATTTGATTAAACAAATCGCAGTGTTCAAAATCACTCAAAAATATGATCGGTGGTCTTTTAAAATTGTGAAATGTCATAATTAGGATAACAAAAAAAAACCAGCTAATATTCCATGTCGTTGCGTCCAATTTCATTTTTGATGTAGAGTATGCAAGTAGAGATTCTATTACCTCGACCCGATATGCACACAGAAAAACACATTTCCAAAACAAAATCCATTTCTCATTTTAAATTGATTTAAATTGAGCTGCCTGACTGAGATGCAACAACAACAGCACGAAGAAAAACACACATGCGATGCAGAGTGCATCAGGATTCAACGGTCAAAAGCTCAGTCAAATGGAATATTGGCGAAATCTGTACGTTTTGGGATTCAACAACCGAAAAAGAACCGTATAACAAACTCACAACTTTAGAGAAGAACGAGCAAAAAAAGTCACCGTACGCCAAATACAACACCAACCGAATAGATCCTGACCGAGTTCAAACTGTGGGGGGAAAAAAAGGAAGAGGAGAGTGGGAGAGAAAGAGAGCCAGTTTTCAATTTTCCCCAAAATTACCTGCAATATAAGTCTGAACTGGTTTGAACAAATATAATAAAAGTGTTTTACATGAATCCAAATATATGCGCATAGTTTTTTTTTCCTCTCTTGTTGTTGCAAATTTTCAACCATTATTCTTGGTTGCACTTTCTGCTTTCGACATCGGGTCGAACGAGACGGTAAATGAGAGAACACACAAATACACACACACACACACACACACACACACACACACACACACACACACAGGTACCATCTACCTAACCAATCATATTCTCATACGTATTGTGTTTTGTGTGCTTTGGAACGATGCTGAATCTGCTGCATCGAAATCGAGTCTCTTGTTCTTTCCCCCCCCCCACTCTCTCTCTCTCTCTCTCTCTCTTACTTCTCTCGTTCGGTTGGTTGTATGCGAAACTTTTGTTGGTTTCGACAATGTTCCATCGAAATATTCATGACCACAGCCAACGAGAGCCAAAATTCTACACGAAATGCCAAATAGAAAATTGTCGGTACCAGGCACAACAAGAAAACAACAGTACACACCACATCGAACCGAAGAAGAAAAAAAACGACGAAGGGAAGAGAGCAGCTCGACAAAAACGAAACTTTATTGGCTGCATTTAATATTATTCATAATACAGAAAGACCACAACAAAGGTGTATTGGAAACGATTCGCACGTAAATCGGCAAGTCTTTTTTTGTTGCTGTTATGCAAAACAAATTTATTTGTGCTTGTGTGTATGTGCTGGCATACATTGTTTGCATCGCAAATCTAAATCGATGCTATCGAGCTGCATGCATGTTGTTTTTCTTTTCTCGGCCCGATTTAACCGCATTTCTTCATTCTATTTGCTGCTCGAGATGGTTTTATTTTCAGTGGTTGACATTTGTGTGTATATATGTATGTGTAAGTCGGAAATGTAATAATATGCACTTTATAGATATTTGGGGCGGCAGAAAGGAAGACAAACGGAAAAAAATACAAGAAGAGGACACATACTTGGGATGGGTTTCATGTGACAATGTATGACACCAGCGTTCGGCTACTAAAGCTTCATCATATCGAAATTGCTTTCCGTGCACAATTCCATATTGTTCTATGTCTTCAATTTCTTTTATTCCTTCCATTCGTTCCTTCTCCCAATCTCTCTGCCTCCCTGGATCTCGCCATGCTGATTTCATTCATTTCGTTCGTCGTGCGCTCGCTCGAAACACATGATTACACATTCAAAACCGAACAAAACACCCAAATGGTAATGGAAAGAGAGGGAGAGAGAGAGAGAGAGAGAGAGAGAGAGAGAGCAAGAGAGAGAGAGAGAGAGAGAGAGAGAGAGAGAGAGAGAGAGAGAGAGCGAAAGAACGAAAACGAAAAGAATCGGTGAACGAAGCATTTTGAACGAGAAAATCCACGTTCTGCTACACTGTATTCATTTAATTTTATTTATTTATTCATGTGAACGTTAATCATATTCAGCATGCACTTCGGGTTTTGTTGCAACTTGCAATCGATTTGTTATGCTTGCGAATTTAAATTTAAAGACACCAACACGTAATCTGCATCCACTTACATTTTACATATCAAACGAATCAACCAACCAACGCAGCCAGCCAGGCAACAAGCGACAGTGATGCAAACATTCTACTATGTAAACCGTCGTATTTTACTGTGCGACTCCGAAATTCGCAATGAAACCAATCGCACTCAGCGGATGCCAATCCAGAAAATTGAATGGAAACTCTTGTTGCTTTTTGTCATCATCACCACCACCAATGCTACTGTTGCCATCGTCTCAAATGCTATCGTGCTCTTCTTCTCTTTCGCTCTCACTCCAACAGATTATTTAACATGACACACTCGAAATGCTTCCCATTTCGAAACATCGGTGCGGAAAATATCGATGAATAATGGACCAGTCAGCACTGTGTGGTTGTATGTGTGTATCATTGGAGTTTTTATTGTCGTTGTTTGTTTAATGGATTCACTTTCACGTCAAATGGTTAAATGATAAGCTTTTTGGATTAAATTACGTCAAAAAAAGACTTCACTACCGTTGTTGTACCGATATCAGTTGTAAAACAGATTGAAAACTTTTTAAATCCTCTGTGCAATGCACGTACGTCGTCGTTGTTGTTGTTTTTTTTTGCGGCACAGCTAAAACAAATAATGGAAATGTATCATTTTAAAAGAATTAATTAAATTAACATGACATGATTTATTGCGCCTTTAAAGCTATTTTTCCCCTCAACCATGATTGTTACTAGCCAAAATCTCTAGATGATATTAGTTCATCGTGTTTGTTCAGTTTCGCATCGCTGAGAGAGTTCAATATGTATGGAAGTTGCAAACACAATTGAATTTTAAATTCGATGTGCGTGCGTATGAGGGCGCGCGCGAAAGCATTTGCAAAGCACGTTCCGTGCAGTGGGCAAACATACGCCACGAGGTAAACACGTCACAACTGAATAAAAATACCATCAACACAAATAAAATATAGCGTAAACAAACAGATGGTCGTTAAGTTGCTGTTATATGGCCAATTTTACGATTACCGCTATTTACTTAATAACATCCATTATTTTAGCTGCTCTAGTTTGAGCTCTCTTTCTCTCCCTCTTTTCCCACGTTTCGCTGCCTCTTCTCCCCATTTTGTTTTATCCAGCACACGATCCATTTAATTCGTACACATTTTTTTGCCGCTGATTGACAGCTCTGCCTCGCTACACGTTTGCTCCACCTTCATTAATTAGGCACATTTGTTTGGTGAATATTGACGCAGATAGAACGAATTTCTATTAATATGGAATCAAAACGATTGAATTATTTATTGAATTCACATTTTATCTCTGAAATCGGAAATTGTTTAGCTTTCTAATGCAAACATTTTTTTTATCTCTTTTATATTAAAATTTTGTTTTCACATTCATTTCTGACTTTTCCCTAATCAAACCATGGCGCACCGTATCATATGTGTGCACCAGTTAGGTAAGCTGAGTGACCACTTTTTCTGATATGACCTTGTTTGATTTGTGACTGTGTATAAAGCTACGCAATCGAAAATTGAGTATCCAATAAATGTATTTAGGTGTGGATTGCGTGACTCGTTTGAAATAATAGGATCGGGCCGGGGGATTTTTCCGTTCAAAAAAAGCATACAATAACTTTGTGCTGCACACGATCGAAATTAATGAGGGAAAAATACCATCGAATACTTTGTCAGGCTAATTTTTCTTGTTTTTTTCGTAACATGGAATTCCGCTTCGCTCCAATTCCATTGCCATTCAACGAAATGAAATTGAAAGTACGGAATAAATTTAAACAATGCATTGGAGGGTAAAAAACATAGTTTCATACAACAATCAAAGTAAATATTATAATGTCCTGTGTATGTGTGTGTGACATAATTGAAATACCATTGCCTAGTTACTAATTAACAAAAAAATTTCTGTGGAAATATTCAAGAGTCCATCCAATGGACATGACATTGATTTTACCGATAATGCTTTACTAATTGATTGCAAACTAGACTTTGGATTTACTGTTGTTATTTGTTTACTGCTTTTCATGAAGTTCGCTAACAACTCTCGACGGTTCTATGACACTCGAAATAGAAAAAAAAATTGACTTGAGTGGTAAACAATTGTTTTGTTTTGATTGTTTTTTTGGAGATATCAACGTTCTTTCTATTTGTTTTCATTTGGCTCAGGATATTTGAAATTGTTCTCCATTCGAATCATTTCTATTTTTATTTCTAATTCAACTTGACTCACTTATCTGTTGCCATGACTGCTGTTAAGGAGACACCAGTGGAATTCATCTTTCGTGTTTTTCATTTTATATGAATCAAAAATATTTGCGTCAAAACAAACGGAAGCAACCACTAATGCACTACCTACACATTTATCAACATTTAATATTAAATTCCTCTAAATTGAAATATCACAATAATATTTTTTGTATAAAGTCGAGTTATAAAATTAATAAAAATGTATTCACATCTTTCCTTCTTTTGTGTCATTTTTCTTTGAATTTTTTATTCTGCCTCGCTCCCGTCGCTGCCGATGCTGCCATTGATGCTGTTGCTGCCGTTGCCGTTGATGCTGTTGTGATGGTTGGTGCCCGATGCTGCGCTTAAATCGTTTAGTTCCACCCGAGTATCCATTAGTATTGAATCGATGGGGTCATCAATTGAACGGAACAATACTTGGACCGATGGAAGAAGGCGACGATATTGTGTTAACATGCCGAGTAACTGGTGGTAAGCCAAGAAGAAATTCGATACCTCTTTCTCTCTCTCTCTCTCTGTATAATATATACGTATACACAATTGCCATTGCAGTTAATTCAATTTTCAGCTGAGTTTTTTTTTCGCTTCCATTTTTCGTACGCTTGTTCGTTCGTTCTGTTCGTGTGCGAGAGAGTTCTTTTTTTTCTCGTTTCGTCTTATTTCATTGGTTTAGTTTGGCATCAGACATTGCCTTTCATTCGGTTCATCGCTGAATCGATCCATTGAGTTCATTCTTTTGCGCCCTTTGTTCGCGTCGACTGAATGAATGCTTTGGCTCTTATTCTTTCACCGCTTCAATATCTAGCTTATATGACCAAGATTTCCGACCAAAATAAAAAGCAAGTGTAATCGAATAGGGCAAACGAACGAGAGAAAGAGAGTTCTTCTTTCACTCTATTTCGCTCTCTTCCTTTCACAAGAATGAAATGAAAAACTAAAGCCCCGGAACATTTATGAACATCGAAAATTCAATGGGGGAAAAGAATGCAAGCGTCTCTCCCTCACTCATTCAATACGCATATATATCGAACAGAGAATTATGATGTAATTTAGATTACGAAGGCGAATCTCGTTCCCATCGACCGAACCATAAAGAGTGCCATGGCACTACTAAAATGAGAGTGTGGAAGCCACAGTTGAACGGCAGCAGAAAAAAATGGCTCGAAAACAATTTGAAAAATTTCCTTAGAAATGGCAGAGCATGGGCAAAGTCAGTGGGTTCAGTGAATTACAAAACTAAGACTCGGTCTACGCGCTCACAATGCACTCTCGCATCCATTATTTACGAATGCACAGTTCAACTCGATCTCTCGGTTCTTTTTTTTCTCTCTTGTTGATTCATTCTCTTCATTATCGAGCTCATTTCATTCAATCGATTGTTCTCCGTATCTTTCTTTACAATCCCTTTTTATGTATCATTGTCCGTCTCATATCGACTACTTTGTGCATACATCGCCATGCACCCACTCTTTCTGTGCTCACTCTGCTCATGCTCTTCATCTCTTCGTTCGATCGTTCGTTTTTTCATCTCTTTTTTGGCTCATCATACGCGCATACATTCAACCGGGTAGTCGATTAACTTAACATATTTCATTATGTAAATGCGGCCAAGAATGGAAAAAAAATGAACATGCCATTGGCCATTTTCCCATTGAATTTCTCTCTCTCACTCTCTTTCACTCTCGTTCTCATTCAGACATTTCCCAGGTTCACTGGTGAAATCCCTGGCGAGTGCATTATTTTTGAATAAAATGGAAAATGAGACCAAAATCACATGACTCTCGATCGACATTTTATTCAAAATCATTTTTTTTTCTCGCTCGTTTGGACGAAAATCGATGCCAAAAAAATGTTTCCCCATTTCAACTCGAATGAATCGAATAAATCCGAATTTTCTTTTTCACACCCTGAGAACGAAAAAAATTGACTATTTTCTACATGAATACAAGCTCATCGCCTCTCGATTCAATGTGATGCATTGTATAATGTATAAAATCATATGAACCGAAATTCGAAAAGGATCTGCTTTTTTCTACATGGTTTATGCATTTGTTTACACTGTCGGCGTGTTCTCAGGCAGTTTCCGATGGGTTTCGGTCATTCCACCGAGACACAAACCGTTCGGAGAAAGAAACTTTCACCGAAAATGCTGCGGTGCATGTGATTTTTATTTTGCTTTTGTGAAAGATTCAACCAATTGTAATTGGGAATAGGTTGTGTCGAACGCGTCTACCGAATCCTAATCAAACAATTGTGTGTCGAAACTAAATGAAACAAGAACGTGTACAATGTATATACATACGTGACAAGCGTTTGAAACGCATCGTCTGATTATTAGCCAATTGTCTAATGTCGGCAAACGATTAAAACTCCAGAACAATTATTGGTGATTTGTGTGCGTGCTTACACAACAACTCGAAATTACACGCAATCGTGCCAAATGAGAAACGCATTCGTTGACGTTGAAGGCCAGTCTGAAAGGATGTTGCCATTGAAACATGGAAAATCACTTAAACAAAAGCAATAGTTTCTTTCGTTTATCAAATAATGGACTAATTTATTTTCATTAAAACTTCTAATTCATACAGTTCGAACGAGTTGACACCAGCAAATTAGTTTACGTCTTTCAAATTTTGACGCGTCAACAAAAAAAAACTCTATCTTGGTCTAATAGAGTATTTATAGTTATTATCCGGAGTGACTTTCAAACAATAAATTAAGTCTGCAGTGCCTGTCTGTCGTGCTAATTGGATATAGAATTGAATTGACGACACGAAACTAAGAACTAACTTTATCGAATGAATAACGCTATTGAATAAAAGAACGAAATCGATTTTTCAAGTGATTCATTTTTGTGTCTACTCTTCAAAACCATCGTTAATCTATCATCCTGAATAATCCAAAACTTTCTGATTAAATCTTGTATCTGATGCGGTATTTCGCTGTTAATAAAACGTTGCCAAAGCGGAAAAAAAACGATCCGCTAAAAATGGCATCGAATGACGTAATGAGCATTTATTCATGCGAGATTTCTCTAAAATGGTCATTTAACGTAATGGCTATGTACCTTTTAATTATAAATTGCATTTAGTAAAGCGCATTACCAATGTAAATGCGGCGCAGACATTCTGCACACCAAACACGGTAATGAAGCTAATTTCCATGCAGCTACCATGCACCGCACCAAAAAATGTTCACCATCGCCGACTGAATCACTGGGCCATTTATTGCGTGTGTCAGCCAGAAAAATGCTTTTAATTATAAACTCGGCCGCACGCAATTACACTTTTCATTTGAGCGAAAAATGCTATACGAACACCGACCGTTCATTGCTTTGAATCATTAATTATCGAATTCAATTCAGCAGATTTATCCGATTAAACTATCAAAGCTTATGTAGTGCTATATCTTTTTATGGGTGGAAAAAAGTTGTGATTTGTTCGGATTGGTTTACAATGTTTTTTCCCCCCTCTAGTATTCGTTTTATTAAAATTTGTCAGATTTATTGGAACATTGTTCACATTTCAATTTCTAACTTCCCAGCAAAATATGCAATTGAATGTTTGCATGCTTGCACACACGCGCGAGCGTACGATAGAAAAAAACGTGCTGGAAATAACATTGACAACATTGAGTTTGCCTCAAAAATGCAATATTGGCGGAAATAATGAAATATTCGAGTGACTATGATGATTCCATTTACGGATATTTTATTCATATTCCGATGTATAGCTTTATCGATTTTGATGAATGCTTTTTGAAATCCCCATATTTTGCTCTTCCTCACGAATTTCAATTAAATTTTGATGTTGAGCATTCTTTTTTTTGCATTCACAATGAATGAACGTATTTCGGGAATAAACGAGGCTTTTCTCTCTCTCCCTCGCTTTCTCTCGGTTCAATTGTAATATGATATGACTTATGACGTTAAAAAAAAATCCCTTTCAAATCATTGATAACTGCACTCTCAATGGATGAATCATTGAATCAATAGCAGGTATTTGTTTGACAATTCGAATATGGATATTCTGTTGAAACCTCTCACGTATTCATCATGTTGAATATTCTACATCAGACTGATTTGAAATTTGGAATTCGAGTGCTATGGATATTTGACTAGTTTTTGTTCAAAGCAAATATCCCAGCCAACTATTTCGAAAAGGTGACATTTTTCAGGTGTAACACAAAAGCATCAAAATACTCCATGCTGTCATTCGCATTCAAAAAACAAACTACCACAATTGATGATCGCAAACCAATCGAAAATTTATTAAAAATTGAATGTTTGACATTTTTTGTACACACAAAAAAAGCTCAATGGCAAAAAGTGTTTGTTAACAAAAGCCGTTTGTTCGAAAGCCACTTCTGCTCGCAATTGAAATGAAATTCCATTGCATATTGGGTTTAATTAAATTCAAAACCATTAAATACAGCCATTTTGGTTAGTGTTAAAATCTATTTCAGTATTGGTCGTAATGCGTTTAAAGTACAGATAAATCCCGTGTATCATCTCCACTTGTATTGTTTTTTACATTGAAGGGCGTTGCATGCACCTTAACATTCACAATACAAACTCAATGCGAGTGGAGACGCCTTATGAAAAATGGCACAGATTGCTAGTGCTAAGGTTTATCTGTACTTTAGCAAAATGTTTTAAAAAGTTAAAATATTCAGACACTTGCATTGAATGCATTCCCAATGGATTCAAACAGAAAAAAGTTCACAATTAAAAAGCTGAATGTGTGCAATTCGATTGAAATTGTTATTTCCCTCAATTTATTATTATTCAAAATAGGTGTATTTTTTAAGCGTTATGTTTTCCAAAATGAATGAAAATATGATTAGATGGCAAATTAAGCCGAATAAATGATTTGAATCTCGGTTCTAATAAAGAAATGAATGGTCTATTTCCGATTTGGAAATGGTGATAACATCAAATTGGAAAATTGATCAATATTGAATATTTCGGTGATGAACATTTTCCCGCCTGCAGCCATAAATGGCATGAAACCGGCAAAAACTACTTTAAATGCTGTTTTTGATGCGCTGCAGAAAAAAAGGTGGTCAATGCCTGTCAGAGAAACTCAATATTTATGAATCACATGTAGTGTATGCAGGAGTGAATAGGACATGAGAACACAGATTTGGAAATGGCTTTCATTCATTATCATCGGCTTGTATAATGGAAACATGTTTTGGGTCGATTGCGTTCGGTCTACTAAAAGCCCATATTGAATTGGGCCGGATGAAACGGGAGCGTTGTATACACGATGTTTTAATGGAATATTTCATCATAATGGTAGAGAGTTTTGTGTCGTTCGATCCTTTAAATTAACATTGAAATGCATCGTTCTATGAATGTTAATATTGTGCGGAGAATCTGGTTCGCTCTCGAGCATTGACTAAACTGAATTGAAAACTAAGGGGAGAGAGAGAGAGAGACATACATACACTCTGTGTGAGTTGTATGCAAATTTCCATAAACACGATTCATTCAAGTCACTTTTCTGCAACGTCAACAAAAATTTATTAAAATCAAAACATTGCATAAATTAATATTACGCATGCATGTGGAGCATTCACACAGCATCCAAGCAGTACCATAAGCTCATGCGATTTGAGCTCGGGGACGCCCGTAATGCAATCTCATTTCACTTCAATCAGCAATGGATGTTGGATGCTATTCATTCAGATAATCCATGCGCTGAGAACATGAATGCACATCGTATGCACAGTGTGCATGTTCAATCAATGGCTCGAACATTCATCATGTGTGGGCAAAGCCAGTAATCACGGTGTCAAACGACAACGTTGCAAAAACATACATATACTTACACACACACACACACAAATCGAATCCATATATAGGACCTGTTCGACTGCATCATACATCAAATTATACCGAGGGAAAAAAAATTATTTACAACATTCAATTAATTTCTATGCACTTGAGGCTCTTTCGAATCGTGAAACGTGTAAATGTGTACATTCATCGATATTTAAACAAATTCGAAATTTATATATCACAGCTTGGATTGACATCGTTACCAATGCCAAACTGGTTTGCTGCTGTGTGTGTGTGTGGATTATCCCTTTATTCTCAGCCATTTTGGGATATTTTCCATGGACGGATATTTGCTCATCGATTCATTTATTTGTGTGAATATTAAATTCTTTTGATTATTCGCACACTCAGGTATTGATGGCTTTTGGCCATTCATTTGGCCTATTGCATTGTGCAAAGCAGTAGTGGTTTTCTCTCTTGAAAATGCATCGGTCGAGTGTGATTCAGATCTTTAAATGACTTCAACATGAGCAAGCAGTGGAATTTCTAATTTTATCATGTCACACAAGGCAAAGCCACCCAAAAGCTTGATCTTATGCGAATCTGTACGCCAATCACCTGCTAAAAGCGGATGGCCCTTTTATTAATGGCCCCCACATATCCAACCAATATGGAATAAGACAACAAAAGATGGCAAATACGCATAATTCGAATTTTTGGCGATTTGTAACTTTTCACGCATCGTGCGCGTCAAATGACAAAAACACACATCGACATTCGCATTATTTGCCATTGCGAATATGTACATTCGATCAAGGTATATAAATCACGGACGCGCATACACACACGCAAGTTTCAAAATGTACCAACGGCAAATTTGAAGTGACTGGACGAAAATAGCCCGAGCGACGTGCAACATCAACATAAACATTCAAACTTTTCTCACCATCGAACACTGATTGAACATCAGCATCGAATGTATGCAAATTTATGGTACTGTACGTACATTACAGGCAGTAGAATATATGCGGATGTGTGATGCAAAATCACCATATATCACATCAATATCCTCTCTATCAATTAAACTTAATAAATCATAATTATTCATTGCGCAACTGATGTCGCTGTTCGGTAAATAATAATATCGGTTGATTTGTGATTGGCAAAGCACATTTTATTCATTCCATGTGACGATGTGTACGGTCCAGTTTTACTGGAAGCGGATTGCATTTGAATTTTCTGCCCTTTTTTTCGTGCATATCACTTGGTTGTGCGGCCACATTTTAATGACATAACGGAATTTTTTTTTGTGATTACCAGTTCGGTTGGCAGATTTGTTGGTTTCATGGCATTTCGGATCATTTTTAATCGCATTAAAGTGGGATTGAAACCGATTCTTTTGATAAATAGACTAGACCGAGAGCCCACGTAGAAAATACTATATTGATAAGTCTCATGTCAGAAAATGTGATCGTAGGTAGATATTAAGGCCAATATTCAAGATATTTTTCATTTTCTTTTATATCTTTTGCACTTTACGATATCTTGCCGCCGATATCAATAAAAATATATGCTTCACTTTTCTTACAATTTGCATGTCAGATATTTTGTGTACAGCTAAATTGCCACGAAATTAATTCAACTTCAAAATATCAGCTCAAAATGTTTTGCACAATACTTTTTATTCGATTCTGAAATGTATCACTCTATGCCGTTTTTCTCCACTTTGACATTTCCACATGAAATGACATAACCTCACTTCATCGAATTGGGTGAGATTTCAAAGTGAATAATTTTGTGATAATTTAGCTGTACACAAAATATCTGACATGAAAATTGTGAAAAAAGTTGAGCATATTTTTTTTATTGATATCGGTGGGGAGATATCGTAAAGTGCAAAAGATAAAGAAGTAAGAAAAGAATATTTTGAATATCGTCCTTGATATCTACCTACGATCGCATTATCTGATAGGAAACTTATCAATATAGTATTTTCTACGTATGGGCTCTGGGTCTAGACGGAATAAATTTGATAAAATAAAGAGAAAATATGGAAACGCCATTCACAATTCTATTTCATGCTAATTTTTTTTCTTGTTACATGCTAAAAGTCTTTTATATTAGTTATTCAATTTAGATTGGTTTTATCAAATCGAAAAGTTTAATTCCATTCGATGAAAGTCGACGATATAATGTATCTATTTCGTAACCTCAAGTCGCTGGCAAATATTATGAATCAAAGTATATTTTCGTGTACTCATTTGTTAACGAAATTAATTTTAGATGTTATGGATAGATGTCAACGCGATACAGAAATTGACAAAGTCAATCTACCGAGCGAAAAGCTCATATTTTCAATTAAATTTATACATTTTCTAGTAACATTTCACGAAATAGAAAATCGCAATCAAAATCAAATGCCGAAAAAAATCAAAATTCAATCTTCTTGTAGACATGGTTCATAGTTGGATGTTGTGTTGCTACCGACCGCTTTTGAACATATTCAGGCCATTTTCAAGCAATTTTTTTTCCGTCCGCCATGGTATTCGCCATTTCGAAAGAACTTTCCTTTCACTTGAAAAAAAAAGTGTGATGATTGGTTTTATTGTGCGTTGAATGCAGCCGACTCAATCGATTGCTGTGTGTCAAAGTAATTCCAGTCAAAAAGGTTTTTGCTACTAGCAAAAAATCGCTCAAAGTGACACAGAAATATACACTCCCACTCAAAGAGAGTGAATTCCATTGAATGTGACAACTTTGCACCGCAAATCATCTCCCACATATGCGCACACACACACACACATATACACACACACACACTTCACAATATCTGAATGAGGAATCAAATGTTGAACGATTGCCAAAGCAACCAACACAAGTTCTGGTTAGATATTTTGCCTCAATCTACAGTGCATCGAACACATTATTAATACATTTCTGTATTGGACTGGTTTCTTTCCTTCTCTCTCGATGAATCACAACCGGAACAGTAATATTCTAGTTGAAATTGACTGTCGCAACGAACTGGGAGAGAAAAAAATTGAGAGCGAGTGAAAAAAAAGGAAATAATTGTGTGAACGACAATATTTACTGTGAAAATCGTATCGGTGTTATCTAAATGGATGTACATTGGAAATTGATGATTGAACGTGTTTCCTCATACGTATACACTCACACATGCTGCTCGCTCTCTTGCTCTCACTCACACGTTTTCCATAGCAGTAATATCACTTCCCTGCAAATCGTACCGCTCAAAGGTAAAAGTCAGAACGTAATTAGATCACGATAAAAGCTCCGAAACCTGAGCAAGCAAAGAAGGAAGGTAATCAAAATGAATTGGTTGAACCGGAAGCCATAAGTATGTGTGCAGGTTTTGAAGAATGCAATGGCAATGTATCTCGATTGCACAGCACAACGATGGCATCCGTACATTGTGTGCCGGGCTGTGCACATCTTATATTGTAACATTTATATTTTCGGTAATAAATTATTTAGTATTGCAGTCGTGTTGCAAGTCATTTCCAATAACAAAAGCAGATTGAGTGGTTTGCATTGTGCTACATTCAAGCGCGCGTCTATTCGCAAAAGTGTAACAAGCAGTTAAGCACATTGTAAATTCGGTGTGTGCATTTTTTTTTCTCTCGTCTCTTTCTTATTTGCTTTTGTTCACTTTTGCTTCAATGTGAGAAATTTGCGACGATTTTTTTCCCTCCAACTCTCGTTCAGAATTTTCCGATACCACAATATTACCGAACATTTTTCACATATTTCAACGGCTTAGGTGAGTCAAATCATTTTCACAAAGAATTTTTTCCGAAGAATTTCTCTTCTTCTCAATGACTTCACATTTTTGAAGTAACCGAAAAATAGGTGAGATGTCAAGTGTCATTGTGTTTATGTTTATGGTATTCTTAGTGATTTCGTTTTTTTCCCTTCTTTCTCACGTTTGTGTCAATATTTCACTGTTTTTTTTTCTGTCCACAGGTCGACCGCAGCCGCAGGTTCGATGGCTCGTAAATGGTGTTCTTGTCGATGATCAATACGAACACAATACCGGCGATGTAATTGAAAATCGACTGTTGTGGCCAGCCGTACAACGATCCGATCTCAATGCAATATTCACTTGTCAGGCCGTAAATACAATCCTCGTTGAACCCAAAGAAAGTAGCTACATCTTAGACCTACACCGTAAGTATTTCTACATTCCATTTTTTTTCTACCTCTCTCGTTGGCAACCGTTCACTTTTTTCATGATTTATTTACTTTTGAAATCATTTATTGGCTTTAAAGATTTTCGATTTTCCTTGGAAATAACTTTGTGTGAAAGATATTATAAGAAATCGGTTCAAGTGACACAGATAATGCGATAAAAGCGACGGCAATGAATCACTTATGATTCAAGTGTAGCATTATCGTGCGTAGCGATAATGCTATTGACATACGTACCTCTTCATCCGATTCGAATTGCGCTTGAAAAACAATCGAGAAAACAAATATTTTCACTGGGAACAGTTCACATGATCATACACTTGGAGTTTTAAATCGCTATTTAAAATATTAAAATCATTTTTGCTCTTTTTTTCTTCATTTGTCATACATTTTTTACTCTCTATTCATTAACATGTTTGAAATTCGCTTTTCATTAACTCTTATATGTTGAGATACGGGGGATTTCCCTCTTTGAATAAATAATAAGAGCATTTGATTATTGTTTCATTAGTTTGAATTTTTAGCAGAGTCGTGATTGCACATTGACTTTAATTATACGTATATTCAATTCATTATAATAAATACTGCATATAATTGAAGTCGAAATCATATAAAAAGTGTTGCATATTCCAAGCGGAAAGTTTCATTTGAAAGAGCTCTTCACAGAGAGTCGAATGGATGCATAAAGCAAATCAACTTTTCTACTTGAGAGACTCCGTTAATCTCCTGAGTATTTTTAGTGTTTTCAAGACACGAAATGGCTTACTAAAGTTTAGTGCGTGTTTTGTATTATGTACAAGACTCTTTTCTTCTTACTTTGAAAGTAGTTTGTGCTTTGAAGAGAAAAACGTACGAAAAATGTAAAATTTTCTATTCAAAGTGAAAAATGTGAACTGTTGTAAAAAGCGAAACGAATTCTTTGAATGAAAGAAAAGAAATTCTTGTTGAGCTAAAAAAGACGGATGCACATTCCGTTAAACAAGAGAAGTCGTACATCTTGTGCGTAATACATCATTCTCGTTCGGCATTGTTGTCGGTTGCATTCCATTCGATGGCATTCAGTGCGAAAAACAAAGCGTTCTCGGGTTGCGTGGCAAATAAAAACCTCAAACGCCGGAGATGAATTCATTGCACGTACAAATAATAAAACGGAAGGTATAATACTGTGTGGTGCAGAAAGAGGATGAGCCATGCGAATCAATTGGGCATGTGATGCATGCATTAAATATGAGAAATTTAATTTGATAATTTTATTTTCAAGGAATTCCCTCCATTCTTTTATACGTACATAATTTTTTGTTTAAATAATAAAACCAGGGTAATGAAAACCGTTTTATGGATGGTCATCGCATATTTTTGAAATAAAACTGGTTTTTGTCGTCGCTCATTCTAATTTATTTGCGTTTTCCGTCGAATTTTTTTTTTCCACCATTCCCACTGAAAAATACCAACAAATGCTGGCTTTTTTGCTATTTTATCTTGGCGAAGTAAAACCGAAACTACCGGCCATTCCGAAATGCTAACAATCATATGAAAATGCTTTGCTTATTCTCTCGTGTTGGCTCACAATCCCATTTTTTACGGTGACAATAAAAATGGAGATATGGCAACTAAAACGCACAAAATTTGAAGACTATATATTTCTGTAGTTGGTCGTCATCGTATAGCCCGTTGTCGTCGATGGTCATCGTTGTTGGCCGATGTATTATAGTCCATACTCACTCACTCTGGATGGGAAAAATGAAATACACATTTTGAACGTATTTTGGGTCAATGCATTTCAAAGTCACTAATCAAACTTTTTCCGCTTTCTGGTTCCATGCAACACCAGCTTCCAACAAAAACATACAATAATCAACATTTACAAATGAAAACGAGACACTATAAATTGTGTAAACAGCAGTAGTAGCAGCAAAAGCAACGGCAGCGATGGCACAAACCGAATTCGATGTACGCATACATATGATACATGTGTTTGCCCGGGATTGTCGGCACATACACGCTATCGGTTGTGGGAATGTGTAAAAGAGGATAGCATTTAAAATCCGAGTGAGTTTTAGCCAAAACGAATCCATGCATTAGGCCAACACAATGAAAACATCTAGCTCCGAATAATAAAATTTTATAAAATAATACAATAATTGTAATGAGACAATAGAAAATCGTTGAAGTGTTCGGAGCGCTCGGAATTTACTGCCTTTTTCGGAATTATGAAGCAGTCAACACGAGAGAGATATGTCATGGAAACGAACAACGAAGAGGAAAGCTAAAACCATGTGAACCGTTTTTATTTTTATTTTGAAAACAAAACAACAGCAACAACACACGAAAAACAACCGACAACCCGACGACCAATGCTCACTTTGGCTGGCATTTGATTCCGAATAAGAAACGACGAGCAGGACAACAACGGCAATAAAAAAACGAGAGAGAGAGAGAGCAGAAAAGAGAAAATAGGAGCATGCAGTCATACATACAATAGAAAGCCATTTGACATTATGCCGCATAAAATCAACACACAAACAATAAACTCGGAAAGAAAAAGAGACCTCATTCGTTTTGCCATAAAATTGTAAAATTGGATTCTTGTCATCTGCTAAACGAATCGGTTTTGTTGTCTCTATATATTGTCGTGTGTGCGCTATGTGTTGTGTGCATGTGTCGACTTGTGTGCGTGTGTATATGTGTTGGCTGGTGCACAAAACGGTTGTCGCTTTAAATTTTAGACAACGTTTCCGTTTTGTTTGTTTATTAGATAATTTGGTTTCGCCTCTATTTCATTATTCATGAGCATATAAACTAATATAATATAAGGAATAGGAACAACTTTAATTTACTGCCCCAACATTTTCGGTGCGACTAATTTTCGACACCACAAATTTGTGCACTTGCTCACAAATTTGGTATGTGAACTAAATTGTATCGAGTGAAGGCTACTGGGTTCATTTTTGATGAATTTTGGGCTCTTTTATGTATTCACATACAAATTCTTCATATCAAATTTTTTGCTAGTTACGATTTTTGCTTGTGGAACACTTATGGCTATTGTAGTGCTGCTCTCTCCTACAGCAATAGCCGTTCTTCGATTCCAAAATTCCGGATTTCATCGGAAAATGGTTGCGAGTAATTTATTTTATTTAAAATGTCAAAGAACTTATCATTCGAATTGCATTCCTCCATAGAGTATCATAGTCAGTCAGTCAGTCAGTCACAATATTCATTCAAAGTTCACTGTTGAATGGAGAAACTGATTACTCCAAATGACTTCAATCGCGAACAAATGAAGTAGTAAAAGTTTAACGGTGTGCGTCATATATTTGATGTATTTGTGTTGGGCTGGAAAATTTCAATTGAAATGTTTGCGGTTTATTCGATGCCATGAGCAAGGATTTTGCACCAGATTACATACGGTTTTTGGCTGTGGAACATTTTCATTTTGGGGGATTTCAAATGTGAAATTAATTTTCACATCAACATGATAATATGTAATCCGCCGAACTGTGTGAGTGTGTTTGCGCAGAGAGACCCAAATGCATTTTTGAATAATCGAAATAATCTGAAGAATAAATATGGTAGAGTTTGTCTGTGTCTGTGTGATCTAGCACAAAATTTTTGGCATAAAATCACGACCGAAGAACATTTTCAATGTGCCATTTTCCAATCTGCGAAAGTATATATCCTTCGGCGCTATAAAACGGTGCAATTCTGTGGTATACCTTAATAAAATGTTAAATATGCTTCTTTCCATCCCATCCTCTCACTCTCCACAGACAGAGACAAAGTTGAGAGTTTAAATTTTCTATTCAGTTCGTTTACTTTATGTTCCACAATTTAGATTGTTATCTCATTTTAATTTGGGTCAATTAAAGAATTCTTCTTTGCGAGAAATTAAATTCTAATTTTTTATGATTTTCTCTCCTCCCTCTCAATTTTATTATGATACATTGTACTAATCCCGATTTTATTGTTATTTCTCGTTACAGTGAGACCATTGAATGTGGAAATTTTGGACACTCCACCGCAATTAGTGGCCGAAAGACGATACGAAATCAAATGCGAAAGTAACGGATCTCGACCGAATGCCATCATAACATGGTACAAGGGAAAGCGACAGCTTCGAAGGACAAAGGTTCGTATCAGACGGTGTATTTTTTTTATAAAATTAGATTGTGAAATAATGATGGTGGCATGAGGGATAAAGATATGTGATAAGCTTCGATTTCACCGTGTATTAAATTGCCTAAGCATACATGCTCAGCATGCCTGAACTGAGACAGCATCGTCTGAGCTTATAATAATAATTACTCCAATTTCATTGACTTCATCACTTGGAAAAAAAAAATTACGTAACTTCGATTAGCTTTAATTGATCAATTAAATGTGGGTTTTTCGCCCTTGAGGGATGTCGAATTTAATGGATATATTTAAATAGAATTATGATGGTTTTTTTAAGTGGAAAAAAGTTCTTTTTCCTCCCGGAAAAAAAGACTCAGCTATAAAATTTAATTGCATCGAATTTAAGTCAATTATGACGAATTAATTTGATTGCGACAGTTAAAGTAACGGGAAAACCAGAAAGAGAGATATATATGTGTGGTTTTTTCGGTTGGTTGGTGCGTGTCTTTTTCTCTGTGTGTGATGGCTGATGTGGGCTCACATGGCATTCTGTTAGGATAAAAGGATCAAACGGTAGTGTTGTAAAATTGCCGATGTAAATGGTGTACTTTGTTGCAAGTAATACATAAAAAGACTATTAAAAATTACAGGCGCGCATATAAAATGAAATTTTTTATGTCAGTTTAATTGTTTGAAATAAAATGCCATGAAAACATGTGTCAATTTGAAATTTGTTCAACAGCCGAAACCATTTAGTCATTCATTCCATACACGAGCGTCAGGCGCGCTCCACCACACATGTCATTCAATAATTTGAATAATTTAAATGCATTTCATGTGCCTTTGTGAAAGCGTGTATCATCAAATATAAATCCAAACACGCTGAAAGCCATAAATAAAACGCATGACATGATGCGAAAAGAGCGGTAATTAGAGTAGTGCCGGCGTTTCATTTTTTTTTTCAGATGCACATCGGATTGAAATAAATGGAATTGTCAAAGCAAACATTTCTCTCCAGTAAATTTAACACGAACCATTGAAAATAAAACCAACGAGACAACGATGAAACAAAGCAACATGCAATTTCTCCCATGATTTGCCATAAAAAGAATTAAATAGTTTTCGGAGTTTCGAATAAAGTGACAAAAATGGAATGTGCTCAGTTTATTTTCTCTCTCTCTCTCTCTCTCTCGGTGTTTTTACGCACGAGTTAGTACCAGTGCTTTGAATGTCATACGATTTTATTGCTGTGTGTTTTGGCTGCCGGCATTTAAGCAAAATGTTGCGGTCGCACTCTTTATCCCGAAAACGTTTTAAACTTTTGTAAGAATGAGATGGAGGAAGAGTGAGAGCAAGAGAGAGAGAGAATGGGAAGGAGTGAGAGCAAGAGATTGAGCGAGTAGGAGTGAGACATCGAGGGCATTTAGAACGTTGTGAAAGTCTTTACACAGTTCACAATGCTCATACAAATAATGTGATTTCTTTATCTGTGCAAGCGACGGCTTCAACCAAACCGCATGTAATTTTCTATGCTTGGATTCCGAAAGCCGAAAGGAAGAATAAAGAACCCATAAAAAGGATGTGGCCAGCATAAAACAAAGCATGTTATTACACATGCATCCGAAGAATGAACGAAAGATAGAGTAAAAAAAAATTATAAATGAACTTAAAGACTCCCGAACAACGAGCACACACACACACACACTGGCAACGATTGCATTTCGGTCTTAAAATCCGGAGACAAGTTGCTAATAAAATTTGTCTTCAACAACGCGCCACGATCCAATTTGATGTTGCATAATATTCAGCTAGTTTATAACATTCTCTCGCTCTGAGTGCAACATCATCAACTCGAATGGGTTTTTGCCAGCGAATTCAAACCGTGCGAATGGTGATGTCAAATCGACAGATCCCGAAAAGCAGTTCGGCATAAATGGCACGGGATCCTCTTTGCCGTTGTGCAGCAACAGTAATAGCAGTAGCCCGAACTGACGAAAAGTGAAAATTACCACCGCACAGTTTTCATATTTGATGACAAGTGCATGCTTTTTTCAGATTCCCAGTTTTATTTTTGCTTTTATTATCTCCGCACCATGATAATGATACAAAATAATACACATGCAACGACCAAAAGATAGAGAAATAAACATCAACCGCTCTTTTTTCTGCGTCATGTTGTTCAGCTCAAAACTAGTGCGAGAAATGAATGAAAAATACAACATAGATGCAATTTTAACAAAACAACACGGTTTTTCCTTGGCAACTCCGTCAGTTATTCCAAATGGCAGACGAAAGTTGTTTGAAATTCATCCATCTCCGTTTATTTAATGATGTCGCGTACATAAAATTCGTTACTGCGTTGTGTATTTGCAATGTTCTAGCATTGCATCTTCAATTGTTGTGTAACTATGCACAAGTTTGGGATGGTGCGATTCTTCCGTCAGAAATGATTCGGATGTGTGTTCGTTTCGAATACACCCCAAGGATGTTATAATCAAAACGAATAATAGCATCCAAATCCAAATACACAAACCATATACTTTTGCCAGATTGTCATTTGCGTCCATTTGCGCCTGGCATACACTTTCACCGGTCCACACTGTCGGTGTTTGTGTATGTGAAACTTGGAAAAATATACGACAAAAATGAGAAAGAGCAATTTTTTTTTAAGTACAAATGTTGATGTATTATTTGTGTATATTCCGTTTGTTGGTGATGAACATTGTTGAGTCGACGTCAAGTGTGTTCTAACAAATCCAATAAACGTTGTACTTTGCTGCTCAAGTGTAAATCATTTCACAGTTAAATCTCAAAATGAAAACCAGCAAACCTTTATGGCTGCACTTTCCCACTTCTCATGCACGATGCACACAATCTATTGAAAATTCAAATAAATGCCAACATTTTTTTTTGTCTTGCTTCTCCGTCATATTTTATATTTTTTTCCACATGAAACAAAAATGGAACGACAAAAAAAGCGTTCGTACTTCGTTTGACATTGCATTGTTCTTATTTTGACAACAACGAATCTTGTGTCGGTTATTTGCTGAATGTTGTCTTCTCGCACCAACAAAAAAAATATTTGCTTGTTGTCTGATGTTTTGCACTACGAAACGATACGACAACGAAATAAACGAACGAGATTCGGGTGGGAAGAAAAGCGTGGACATTTTCTTGACATGAAATCAAAACAATAACATCAAATTGTCGAATGGATTTTTTTTGGACAAAAAAAAGAGTAAACAATTCAAAGAGAATGCAAAAAAGACATGAGATAAGGAGGAATAGATGACATTTCAAATATGGGTACAACACGAACCGTTTAGCAAGCGAAAAAAAATGCAATTGCAAAAACTGTGAATTCGACTTTCGATCCGTCATTATTATGCCTCAAACAAACAATTTGCTCAATGCCAATAAATTTCAGCGAGAGAAAAGAGAGAGAAAATAAACGAAATATGTAAACGGCACAAAGTTATTCGAAACGATTCGTACGTCGTTTACATTGTTTGATAAGGTGAGGTTGTCACTTCTTTGAATTCAAACATTGTTTGCAGGGCTTTAATCGCAGCGAAGCAGTCTTTCTTTGGATGAATGATTCCAAGCAAAAAATATTCAAAGTAAATTTAAACCGAGAGTGAAAAGAGAGCAAGTTTTGAATGTAAATCGGAATATTCTTTGAAAGCGAAACAAACAGAAAGCACACAATGAACACTTTTTTTACCCTCAAATGGGTCGTCTCTCTATTATTGTTGCTCCACATGGCTGTGAATCGAATTTTGGCTAAAATGTATTCCATTTCACCGTGCAACACATGTTTCTGCACATGAGAAATTCCGATTGCTTGTTTTAGAGGACCAAAAACCAAGCACCTTTGCATCATTAGTTTGTTCGAAACCACGTCTAGATTTTTTTTTATCGACAATATAAGACAAATTTCAGGTCAAAATGAGCAAATCACAAACATAAGCATCGATTTGACAGGTAAAGGCAAATGATTTCTACCTTTTCTGCCTTTGAACAACTAGTATGATCCTTTACAAACATTTTGGGTACTTACATGACCAAATCGAGTGATGTTTTCACATATTTCTGGCCGCATATTTGGTTGGTTCGAATTCAACTCTGAAAGAATCGACTTTTGGCCAAAAATCCTTAAATATAGGCTTTTTAGGGATAGTATCTTAGCGCAAAGTTATTTTTTCTCGAAAATATGGGGAGTCTACCCAGACCAAATCTCTCAAAATTGACTTTTCGAGGTACCTTCTGAACAAAAGTTACGTTTTTAATGCATTTTGCTATGAAAATATCATTTTTTGTTCGGGAGGTACCCCAAAAATCATTTATAAGAGATTCTGTGTGGGAAGATTCCCAATATTTCTCGAAAAAATTAATTTTTTACTAAGAAACTCATCCAAATAGTGTATTTTTGGGGTACCTCCCGAACAAAAAATGTTATTTTCATAGCAAAATGCATGAAAAACGTAACTTTTGTTCGGGAGGTACCTCGAAAAGTCAATTTTGAGAGATTTGGTCTGGGTAGACTCCCCATATTTTCGAGAAAAAATAACTTTGCGCTAAGATACTATCCCTAAAAAGCCTATATTTAAGGATTTTTGGCCAAAAGTCGATTCTTTCAGAGTTGAATTCGAACCAACCAAATATGCGGCCAGAAATATGTGAAAACATCACTCGATTTGGTCATGTAAGTATCCAAAATGTTTGTAAAGGATCATACTAGATGTTGAAAGGCAGAAAATTTAGAAATTATTTGCTTTTACCTGTCAAACCGAAGCTCATGTTTGTGATTTGCTCATTTTGGCCTGAAATTTGTCTTATATGTGTCGATAAAAAAAAGTCTAGACGTGGTTTCGAACAAACTAATGATGCAAAAGTGCTTGGTTTTTGGTCCTCTAAAACAAGCAATCGGAATTTCTCATGTGCAGAAGAAAAAGTTGAAATTTGTTACACGGTGTTTCCATTGTTTCACCGATTTTTCTGCATAAAAAATGGAGATAGAACCAGTCAGAGAGTGTGCAAGGGAAGGAGAGAGTGAGAGAGCAAGACATAGAGAGAGCGAGACATACACAGCGGGTGGGTGGGTGGTTGTGAGTAAAAGAGAGCAAAACAGTGAAAAAGCGAAAGAGAGTGTGAATGAACGTGGTCGATGTCGAAATTGAAATGTGAAATATTAATATTGCAATTGTGAAAAGACCATTAAATTTGCGAAGTGAATCAGAAATAAACGACAACGAAAATCGGGTTCGCGAGGCACGGTATATTGCAGCGAGTACACAAATACACATACATAGTAAAAAACGTTGTTCGAAATCAAATGATGACGTTTCACTCACACAAATTGTATTACGTTTTATTTTATTTTATCAAAAATAAACAATTCGATTTAATTCCAAAAGTTTCGAAATAACCGAGTAAACAAGCGGCACGAGATATATCATGAAAGCACCCACAAAGCGTCATTCATTATTCATAATATTGTCTCACTCTTGCCTCATCGATATCAGACGCGTCGCAATGTTTATATTTATAGGCAATTTTTCCAACGAAAATAAAACGACTTGTTAGACGCAGTTCAATCTCGTTCGCATGTGTGTGTGTGTCGAAATCAGTGATCGTTTTGAATGTTGTTGGTTTTTTTTTCTCGTCTTTCATTTTTTACTCTATAAATAAATGTGTGCTTTACATTTTTCCATTCCAGGATGAGACATTCAACATGACGAGTCGCTCCGAATTAAGTTTCGTGCCGTCGACTGAGGATGATGGCAAATCGATAACATGTCGTTCTGAAAATCCAAAAGTAACGGGACTATTTCTGGAAACAACGTGGAAATTGAATGTTGTCTGTAAGTAAAAACGACATTTGTTTTTTTCTACTGTCAAAACAACGCATTCCTGAATCGACTTTGTGATTTTTGTTTTCTCATTTTCTTGATTTTTTTCTTTCTCAACTCCCACAGTTTAGTTCATAAATTGTGTATGTATTTTTTTTTCTCGTCAATAATTGGAGAAAATCACATTTTCATGTAGGAATTTCAATTTCATTCGTGGGATCTTTCAAAAAGCACTTTGCTTAGTAGTCACATTGTTTATTATGTTTTTGTGAAGGAAAATACCAAATATTGAACTATAGGCTTACAAAGACAACAAGGAGTGTGTGCCGACAATGAAAACAATGTCTTTTACCCACGTCGAATACGTTAACTTTTCACCATCGACATATCGATTTCCTGAGCTTATTTGTAACCAAAGCGCCATATGTATCGACTTAAAACAAAAAAAAAGGGAAAAAAATGTATATGAGGAATTGAATGTCGGAATTAAACTTATATAGACTGAGTGGCACATTGATCGATGTCAATAATTTACAAATACTTTTACCGATGAGATGCTGTGTTGTTTGCAACACGTAATTCGAAGCGAAAAGTCTGACTGAATCAAATTTGATTGAAGCGGCACCAGTACAAATGAAAAATAAATGAATGTTCCGAAAGAAAAATTGTGTTTTGTTTGTGTGGCTGAATTTGCCTCTTGAAATTTTTCGGTAGCATTTGGCAAACAGTTTTTTTTCTTCATTTCTTCCGTTTTTTTTGGGTGGAGGAAAATACACAAATTATGGTCATTTGTTAACTGCTCACGAAACACAAACGGTGGAACGACTTCTTTTTTTTCGACTGTCGATTTGTATTAAATCCAAAAGTACATGCAAATTTCAGTAATGAACAAAGTGCACGATGAATCGTGTGGAACTTTATAGCATCCGATTTTGTATATCGTATGGCATTTACATTTTCCGATGACCTTTGATTTGAGCCGTAATTTGATTTCATCACTTGGCAGCTCGTCCATTAGACTTGTTTTGGTATTCATTAAAGCTGTTTCCGTATTCACATTTCACAATACTGAAATTTTTTTTATCATTTGCTATCGATTTCATTCGATCCAATAATAAAATTTCAGTGTGGATATTCACCTCCAATCAAGATTTAGCCGCGCAAAGTTATTTTGAAACTGGGTTGAGGCTTCATTTTTAATTTTAAACTTCATGACATGTTACTTCGTTCGATATTTGATTGAATCCAAAGTCACCGGACCACATTGCCTTTATGTCACTCAGGTCGTTCGATTCTGCATTCCATCTCGTATTTCAATTGACGTTCCAATAAAGAACGTATCACAAATAGAAGCTTATTTTTAGCTTTGATCTGGCACCAATGGTCGCTTTTGAATTGACCACCTTTTGCATTTCGAGAGCCATACTTAGTCGATTTGAATGTAACGTGAGGAATGTCGAATGTGTGACCGATGTGTTTATTGCAATTGGCCAATTCGGGCAAATCTGTATCAAATTTTCAGAAACTCTGCATTGAATGGTCTACTTGCATTTTGTTGCACAGACACACGTATACACTCGAATGCCAACCACTTCAAATCACTCATTGGCCATAATTCCATGCGGGCTCATTGCATGCGAAATGGTAAAATATGGATTGGTGAATTCAATCGACGATGATACGGCCGGTCTTCAATGGCATACTGGCAGTGCCATTGAATCATGGTGTATCCTATACAGTGTACATTCATGTATGACTTTCCCTTTTCCCTTTGATTATTATTTATTTGATTGAACAAATACAATAAGCCTAATGAAATACAAAACGCTTTAAAGTAGGGTTTGGTTTATCGAAATACCAACGACCCGATATTTGGCCTGTGTTTGTTGAAGAGACAGGCAGAAAGAAAGAAAGAATGAAAGAAACAAAATAGGAGACAAACTTCCGATTCGGTAAATTGACCATATTTATCTTTGCCACAATTTGCCTAAGCGAAAAGAATTCGTTTGGCATGTGGAACACCGAGCAAATGATAAATGATTTGCCGTTTCCAAACGTGCCGATGTGAATAAATGAGGAAAAGGTATGTAAACGGGTTAATATCATCGAATGGCTGAATCACTATGAATCGTGTTTTCTACTTTTGCCACAGTACACCATTTTTTCTTCGGGCCCGATGTACATATAGAACGATTACTTTTATCGTTGCATGATTTTACACCTTTTTTGTCTGACGTTCGTAAAAAATTGTTGAAATTTGTTTTACGTAAAATGCCTAGCGATTTACAATCGATGAAATGCGACCGATTGACCGTAATCTTGCATGTCATATTGTGTTCACACATTTAAATTTCATCAAAATCATTATGCACACGCCCAGTTTTAAACGTCGCACAGTTCAATTTCACCCCGCAAAAATATATCGCCATCGTATCAAATATTTCAAATGATTAAATATATAAAAATTAAATGCTATCGCGAGTCACGAGCACGTATTTTTTTTTTAATCCCGTCGAAAAACTTGATCGATATCGCATATAACTTTGTAACTTTTTTACGTTGTGTAGACCGAAATCGATTCGAATTTCATTGTCGATGTTAATCCAGCGAATATTTTCAATCGGAAATTAAATACGAAACTCATGAAAAAGTATTCATAATACCATGGCTCATGGATAAAAAGCAACAAAAATGTTGAATATTCATGGATTTGGTGGATTTTTGTGTATCTCGGGATTGTGCGTTGCAAACCCGGATAACTTTTTTTTAGTCGAATGATTAAAAAAACACTCTTCTCATTCCTGTTATTTAGTCAATGCTATTTTGTTTATATACAAATCGGTGTGCATTCATTCAACGTTTGAGTCCCTTATTCGAATCTCCACGTTCTATTTTAATTTCACTTCGTCGATGCAAAAGCTAACGGTTGATTGTTAGCAGTGCATAAAGTACACACTAGAATGGGCTCGAGACATGTGTGTGTGTGTGTGTGTGTGTGTGTGTATGTGACCGTAATTCGCAAAATGTTCGCATTTGGAAACGATCTCACCAGCATATTCGCATGGATGTCCTAGGTTTACTAGTGTGTGCCGTTTGCCGTGGCTAAGCCCGTTTATCGAATGGCTTTCGGTGGGCACACATACATATACTAAGAAATATCGGTCTCACATAGAGCCTTCCGAATCTCGCGCACATACTCACATATGAAAATGCCATGATTTTGGCGAATAATTTCTTTGGCCGTCGTTTGGAAAAGCGGAAAAGGTAAATGACACAGAAAAAAAATTATATAATTACACAACATACAAAAATAATGCTTATTCAGTCAGTGGGATAATTTTATTTATGTGCGTTTTTATATGAATCGTGTAACTAATAGCATTTGGTAAATGATAATATACGTAGTATAGAGGCGATAGCATCATATACATGAGGTGGTTGATGTGTGCCATGCCGTGCCGTGCCGTTCCGTGGCCATGAGTATAGAGACGATTCGGAGTAGCACGATGCTAGGCCACTACTGTGTGCCTGTGTGTGTGTTCACGATGCACGAGGCATCTAGAGATACGGCAAAACCAATGACGGGAGGAGGATTGAAATGAATGCCACAAATTATACAATTGTTTGGTTCAAGCTCAGTGAATTTATAGTTCTCTCTAGAGTGAATGCCATGCAATACTGCTTCGTAAGTAGATTCGCTTCGTGTGCGCTCTTGCAACTCTTTCTCTACCTCGCTCTCTCTCTCTCTCTCTCTCTCTCTCTCTTCCACTCTCCGGCATTCATTTATTCCTCTGGTGCTTTTCGTTTGGCCGCTGCACTGGCAAAGCATTCGAGAAAATAACGAGAGTATGTGTTAATGCACAAGTAACAAATGTACGCGTTAGTTTACACTAAATATAAGCCATAAATACCGATTCAATATAAATATACTGTGAGATGCATGTGCGACATCCATAGCTACATGCTGGGGTCGTTAGAATTGTGTGTGTCAAACATACACCACTACGCGCATACACTGCACTGAAGGCGAATTACTGAAACAGCCACTCTCTCACATGTACAGGCACACACACATCCGCGTGCCAACAACTTTAACATTTATATGCCTATAACTATTTATTTACATTGCATACAACAAATGCACTATTCCGAATACGGCGAGTCTATTTGGCTGTAGCCGTTGACGTCTCCGTATCGCGCTCGTGTGCTCTTGATCCGATCCATGCGATCAGGATTAATTATAGAAAGCTGATGCCATAGAATTTTGTCAGTTCGCTCCATTTTTTCGTTCCGTTCTCGATGCTATATTCTGGAGCTCTTTTTTCCCTCTCATTTACTCGGCACGAATTTTCATCGTCGCTCTGACCTGATAAATATTTTACTTGCTGCCAGCCTGTTGGAAATTCGGTGCCTTTTTTTTCGTTTCGTATCCATCTCAAATAAAAATTTTGAATGCAGTTTCGGTATTTACTTCAACTTCATCGATACACACTGAATTCCATTGCAATCGAATTGCACAATCACAAATTCAGATTTACTGAAGAGTGACAGCAAATAAAAGCGTAGGAGGAGGCAGAGAAGATAAAAAAAACATCAACTGACAACTCTCTCTATCTGTCGGTCGATCGATAATTTAGATGTACACCAGTCAATGTATACGTCAAGCGCAGTTTTGCTGCGCCATTGTTCTCGTTTTAATTACATTTTGATCTAATCGGCAAACCAATTCGAGATGGATGAACACATTGAGAGATAGATTGTATATATGTATTTATAGATCGTTGTTACACTGCGCTAATGCCTGCAATTGATTGAGCGTTAACGCGAATGTGGAAATTTTGGATGCACATCCATTAATTGGATCGGCTCTGGTAGAGAATTCTGCCTTCACAAAATGCAAACCTCGTCGATTAATTCGCAGAGATTTTTTTTTTGTATCATCAAAATTCTTTTTCAATTAATAATACGATGCCATCAAAAATGCAATTTATGTCCATTTTTTGGCACTCCTTTGGTATGTTTCAATCAAAGCGTTCGTTACAATTTTTTGTTGGAGGAAATAAATGCGCGGAAAATTGAAGAATTTGCGAATCATGGCTGTCAAAAGCTTTGAAATGCATTTGAATCAAAGACACAGAAATCCATTGTTAAAAGCTTTTACTCCAACAATTGTCAGGCGATTTTTTATTTATGGTTTTTATTGCTTTGCACGGTTTTGCATTGCATTCAGTTTTTCTTTTGCTGCTGTTGCGTTTGTCTTTCATAAATTATTATTGCAAATGATGCCTGCAAGCTGGTGGCAATGGTGATTCATCAGAAAAAACCCAAGGAATATGATTTGATATGAAAAATAGTTTTTGTGCTCAATAAAAACAATAAATGTTTCCATTTCCAGATCCACCGATAGTAACATTGCGCCTGGGATCAACATTGTCGGATAACATCAAAGAAGGCGATGACGTGTACTTCGAGTGCTTGGCTGTGGCTAATCCCCAATGGCGAAAATTGTACTGGTTACACGATGTAAGCAAAAAAAAAGAGAATAAAACCCAATTTTATTTCGTTCTTTTTTTTTGTTCGTTTCTGCTTTTAGTTCCCGCTCTTTTGCCATTCAACATTTTATTTTATCGCTTTTATTGCACGATTTTATTGGGCGAGAAATGCACGAAATCTATATAGATACGTATGCGTCGCAGTGTCTAAATACACTTTAATCAAATAAAAATCAACTTGTGCTGCCATTTTCAGCTGTTTTGTGTCCTTTTTCCAACGCCCATTCCGAAAATGGGTTGTGTGGAGCGAGAGAAAGAGCACGAGAGAGTGAGAGCGAACGAGAGTGAGAAAAATATTATTACTACCGTAAAAGCGTAAAAGCTCAAACAAATGTCATGTGGATAATATAAATTTTTGGCGCAAAACGATTTTTCTGCACTGAGGACAACGAGCACAGATATATTTTTGGTTCGCAACATTCACAATCACAACAACAGAAGAAGATTCCACACATTTATTTATTCATTCAAAATAAAGCCTTATCAAGCGTTTCGCACGCATGCTACATACTCGGGACAGTCATAAAAATATTATCAATCTGGCGTGACTTTTATTGTGTGCGTACAAGTGTCTTTTTTTTAACAGTTATCATTGATGCTCTCTTCACTCACTTTTGGTTAGGCTCTCCTTTTTATCTCCGTCTCACTCCGATGCCATTAGTCACGCTGTCTAACAACGAAAGTTTGACGCTCAACACAAACACACACAAACATACGCATCCAATGAAGTATCAGAAAAGTGACATTGCAACACTTCAAACGTTCAATGAATCAAATCCAGTGTACTGTTTAGTTTGTTACAACATCTATAAATATAACCAATTACAGCTGAATAGTTCGTCATCATATCACTTGTTCCATGGTGCGCTTTACGTTATTTCCGTCGAATGATGTATTTTGTAAGATGCCTTCCTTTCCATTGGTATAGTTTTGTCAGTGATTTGTTGGTCTTTGTACAATTTCAACGTCAATCGTTTTGATAATAATGTTCGTGAGGAGGAGGCGTGTCAAAAACAAAATACTCAAAAATGCTGGAAAATTTCATGGGAATCATAAAATATTCCAAATATTGTATAAAAAGAGAATCCACTTTGGGATGACGAGAGGGAAGGGGGAGACAGAGGAAAAGGAAGAAACAAAAGACAAGTCTCAAGCTAGCATAAAATCGTCAAGCAACTTAAATAAAATCATGTAATTCTTTTAGTTTATGATATATCCTCTGCCATGATTTCTGTGTCCCGTTATTCCGTTGTCGTTGGATGCATTTTTGGGATGACAGTGACTTTTCGATCTTCCACTGCATATGTGTGTATTACTGTGTGACAGCAATAAACTCTCTCGAATGTATTGCTCAACATTGACTGATTTTCTGCTCTGTTCGAACTGAATTGTGTCCCGTATAGCTATGGATGGATTTTGACTTGAGCTCAGCGCTGTTTACAATCCGCTCGCTTGTGTATTTACGCTGTTTGGTTGCATCCTCTGTGCTCATTCTTCGCTTTTTTTCTTTGTCCATCATTCTCCGGTGTATTTTTCGTTTCTCACATGAATTCGATTAAGCTTTAACGCCATTGGAAATGAAAAATGTGAAGATTTCTTTCTCGCTTCTTCTGCTTATTCGTTTTTTTTTTCATTCTGTTTGTTCAATGCATTTGTGTGTGTGTGTGATATTTTGTCATTTGCCCGGAAAATGTCGACATACACCGATCAGATTGTGAGTATAAAATTGCAGCCACTGCACTATAGCAATAATAATTGAGAGCACAGCAGTAACAGCATAAAAAGAAGAAGCATTGATAATAACAATAACATTGAAAGACGATCCATCGATAGAAAGAGTGTACGCGTTTCAATGCGATACGTTTGTTGTTTACTGCTCAAACTGGGTTGTTGCAATTCGATCATAACGAAATGTCATTTTTCATTTCTATTTTTTACCAAGTGCGCGAGCGCTCGTTCGCTCAAGTTGCAATTATCGATTACGATTATGTTCGTTTCTGTTATGCGATATCCATCTGTTCCTATACACATTCGATTATTCCATCCAATCAATGAAAATTCACACTATAACCTTCTTTTTACTCGCTTCTTCTCTTCACTTCCTTTTTGCCCATTATTTAAAGAATTGTCGCTACTATATCTCCCATACTCTCGCCTGTTCCACTTACTTGTACGTGTATCAAGTCTTTTGTTGTTATTGCTATTATTGTGTCCGATGCACATCCTTTTCGCATCGCTGAATTCCGATGAAATGAATTTATACGACACTTGTTCACTCTATTTCTGTTCTGGCTTTTTGTTTGCAGGGAGTGGTTCTAACGCACAATGCAAGCGCCCGAGTTATTCGATCCAATCAAAGTTTAGTGTTACAACGCGTCACAAGGCATTCGGCTGGAAACTATTCGTGCAGCGCAATAAATGCTGAAGGCGAAACCGTTTCTAATCAACTGGAATTGCGCGTCAAATGTAAGTACACAATTTTCAATTTCATATTTTTTTCCATATTTTTTTCAAGCTTTTTGTTGTTGCTGTCGTGATATTATCACATTCAAAAGAGATTCCTGTGAATAATCCGATACAGGTGTATTGCATAAATGTGTATCATTCGTCGTTCATTCGCTTGGAATTTCTCTGAATGCAATTTAATTACTTTTCCGAATGATAGTTTTACTTTTTTGAAAAGTATTCAAAGTTGAATATCAAATAATGTTCGAATCCCATAGAATAGGTTCCAACATCGAGAATTAAGGGAAAATTCATTATGGAAACCTCATTCAATCGTTTATGTTCACTTCAATATATATTCATAACGAGTTCGAGGAAATGATTCCAGTTTCCGAACCACTTGAATAACCGCTGCAATTCGCTCGAATAACCTGCATTGAAATTGATGTGATGGAGGATTTTTGTTGTCATTCATTTTATTGATTCGAGTGGTTTTTTTCGCTTGATAAAAGTTCTGCAATTCAAAAGTACTTCGATGCTTCGTTCTAATTTTCTTGTGGCCTCATTTAATTTCAACCCGTTCAAATGATAGGAATGTGGAATGTCTAAGAGTCTAAGTCGATATTGTCAACGGTATCTTTCATCGGTAAAATCGGATTTGATACACAAGATTCTCGTGCAACTTAGAAATCAAGTGTTGACTAGAAAATCAAGTCTTTCAATCAACAATTTGGTCATGCATGTAAGAGATTTAGGTAAAACCATCACTACCATCATCAACAACAACAACAACAACAGCCATCCATGTAAACCGACACGAATGGAAAATTGCTGTTCAACTTTGATATTCGGCTTTCAAATTGGTTGTGACTTTGTTGTTGGTCAGATGCTCTTTTCACATCTGGCATAGCACACATCCTTTCAACACTCCTTTATGCAGTCAAGAAGAAAATACTTCATTTTCCGAAATAAATTCTAGTTGTTGGTGTTTTTTTTCTCCTTTTCTCTTGTTCTGTTCAACCTTCTTGCAAGTTTGCATTACTTGTAATTGCTGAAGTGACCAGTTGGACGAATGCTTGGAATTTATCAACAAATTGCATGAACCCAAGAATTCTCTAACTTTTTGCATTTATCCAAAAATTCTCAAGAACATATTTCGTTTGTGCTGAAGTCATCTACATCAAAATTGCAACGGAGTTGCAATACGTATTCATTCTACAATGTCGACAATTTTCAAATTGCATTTCGTTGAATTTGACTCAGAGTTTTCTAAACAACATCCATTTTATGATCATTTTATAGATGCTCCACTGTGTGCTACTGATAAGGTTGTCATTGTCGGTGCATTTCGAAATGAGAATCTCAACATTTACTGTGAAGTGCATGCTGATCCACCCCCAAGGTTTGTATTCACATTGATTTTATCTGTTACGAAAACCCAAAAACCTAAGCGCTCAAACAATTGTATATACGCAAAACAAACGAATTGCAACAGCAATAACATCAGACATCAAGGAAGGCGGAACATGGTTTCGTTTATTTTACCATTTTTCATCATTTCAGGTGTTGCATTTCAGTAATATAAGCCCGAATAGGGCAGTGATCAAAGAGAAAAAATCCATCCGTATTTTCTATGGATTTTGAAGCAATGGTGGTGAGTCAAGATGAGAAAATTTGCTTTTGAAACCACTAATTGGACGCTTTTGACAAGGCAATCCGACCAAATTGATCGATCGAAACGTTGATAAATAGTCAGAAATGGTGAAATCATATATTTTGAATTTGAATCATGAATCGGAGAACTTTGAAAATCTAAAAGGATGCAATCATTCTACTGTCAGATTAAAGAGAAAAATCGATTTAATTAAATGTGGAACTGTTTACGGAGTCAAAGTGTCAATTAGAATATTCGCATTTCATTGTGGTTAAGGATATTTGTATATTTCATTGTAGTTGAACTAGTCCATCGGTGAACTAGTTCCATCTGAACTGTCTATCAACTGAAAATATCTATTCGACGAGTATGATGACGTTGATTGCGTTTTTTTTTGCACATAAAACGTTTTTTTAATCAATGAGTGGAAAACCAAAGAATTTATAATAATTTGGCACTTTAATCATCAGTGAAGCATCTCTGAAAGATTAATTGGTCAATTAGAATTTTTAGGTCATTTTTTGAAATTGGACGTCAACTTTAATTCATTACTGTGAAATCCATTATATACGATTCCAATTGGAAAACAAAAATCATTGTTTGAGACTTGGTTTTGGGCTATTTAAAGAAAAACACTGCTCATTTATTCGGTTAAATTCATTGAAAATGATTTGGTAAATTTAGATCGTTTCGTTGGAAATTCAACAATTCTGGAGAAACATTGGATGTGGGCAAAGAACGTCATCACCGCAATGGTTCAACCAGTGTTTTGCAATATACACCAGTCACAGATCAAGTAAGTGCTATATTACCATATTACATTGTTATTGTTTATTTTGGCCTGTTTTTTTTACCGTTCAGTTGACTACCGCATTTCGATTTGTACACAGTCATTGTTCAGACACTCTTCTGATGCGTTGACCATTTTATGCAAATTCTACGTGATTTTCCCATTATTTCGTCGACTTTTTGAAACCTTAATCGTTGCTTTTGTCTGCAGTGACGATGTTTTTTCACGCTCTACCTCTCTGGTGTTGATGATTTTCGAATGGAAACTCCAAGAAAAAACATTTTCATTGCTCGACCATGACTAAATGAAGACTCCGTTTCGTCCAATAACAACAGCGTTTAAATTATAAGTTTTTTCATAATTACCATTCACGACGGCTAATTTGTATAAGTGATTAAAATTCGCCAAAGGAGAGCTCGCTAACTTTTCCGAGGCACTCCTTAAAAATTCACACAAAAAAAAACTTGACAAAAAAAGAGAATTATTATTCTTTTTGAGTGTTTTGGAACATAGACGAAAGCTGTGCTGCGTTCCAGCATCGTCACTTTTTCATATTCTTTTGCCTTCCTCCCTCTCTCTCCGTGTGTTTGTGTTCTATTTGCGCAAGTCTCCAACAGCAAATAAACACCAAGAAAAAAAAGGAGGCGAACGAAAGGTATATGCAATGTTGGACTGCATCCGAAATGAGTAATTGCTAATTAGAAGCTCATTTCTTGCTGCCTGCGCTCAATTCGCATCGTTTTTTCTCCTTTGGTTTTTTGCTTTCATTCACCAGTTCCGCGAAATTTCGTGAATTGTTAGAACAACATCTTATTTGAATTTTTGTTGAATGCTCTCCATTCGCCCAGAGTTTCAACGTGCATACAAAGAAATGGCCTCGTTCTTTTTTCGCTCTTCATTTCGCTCGTTCTCTCTGTTTGCGTTCAATGAAAGACGAAAAGAAAAAAATTAGAATATGATGAAAATAGTTGGGATGACTATACCTTCAACGCGAGTGCGCTTTTTATCTTCTTTGTTTTTACAACCAATCGATATGATTGAAAATAACTTTTCGCATGATTCCCACCAGCGAATATTTGTTCGTTTTATATCAAAACGAAATCGAAGGAAACTTTATCGAGCTGTAAAAGTTGCGCCAAACATTTTCACACTGTCCAAGAACGTGAACTTCATAATTCACCGTGATAATAAATGTGTACGTAAAAGAACCATTTATTTTCGCGTGGAATTTCTCGTTTGCGCTTCGCTTTTGGTAGCGAATAGTGGGAATGAGAAGTTTGGACGTTCGCGATCACCCCTTTTCGAACAGGAAGCTATCGTTCGGTGGCGCTCCAGAGAGAAGGAACCATCGCTACAATAACAATAAAAAAAATGAAGAATATGAAAACGAAGAAGACGACGAAAAAATAGAATAAATATTGTGATGATCAGCATAAAAAAGATTCGACGCTCGAAAAGTACGAAATATTGTATAACGGATGGAGCGAAGGGTTTTTGTATGAACAAACATACACACACACACTGACTTGTATCTCGGGCAGCAATATATGCTATATTTTTTATTATTACTGCGCGCATAACGATATTCGACAATCTCCCTGTGGGAACATCATGTAATAAAAAAATAATGCAAAACTTTGCTTCTTCTTCACCAAATGCTCGCTTTTTTTTCTCTTCTTCTATTTCGTTTTGACTTTCACGTCTCCTTCCTAATGATTTTCTCTTATTTATTCGACCCATACTCACTCCAATTTCAAGCACTAGACAAGTGCGACTGTGAGCGCGTTGAGCGTTATGAAGGAATATCATGAAGCAAAGCGATGAAGAAGAAGAAGAAGAAGAAAAAAAGCGGCAAACTGCAGTCGAACTAATATCATTTCGAACATAGTAAGTTTTCTTCCACTTGCAGCTTCATGTCGTGTCACCGCTATGAATGTGGACGAGCGTCTCGGAGCATTATTGCACGATTTTCAAGTTGTAGCTACCCATGGAATAACTTGTATGATTTTCATATATTGAAACTAATCCATGCATTGATTTTTATTTTATATATTGAATTTGATTTCGATACCACAAAACAAGCAAAACGCCCGCCAAACATTCTACGTGAATATTTTAAGACATGAGATTGGATCGATTTAGAAACATTTTTCCAGTTAAATTGCCACTCTCGGCTTTGAGTGAACGCAGAAGATTGAACCGTTAGAAAATGTATGGAAATATAAAATTTTACAAATTGAAACCCGTTGCTGCAGCCATTTTATTGATTGTACCGGGGAGAACTCTAGGCAATTTCATCCAAAAAATGATGACTTTAATTCAAGAACGGCTTTTGTTGCGTTGTCTGATTGTTGGCTGATTTTCTATGACAATGATGAACGTTTTGTTTACCGTTGATTTGTATGCTGTCGTCGTATTTAGCAAATACTTTTGAGAATCCTTGCAGATTTCACAACAGCTTTTCCACCAGATTGGATTTCACTTTTTTCGTTGTTGTCAAATTTTCTTTTCACGAATGTGAATATGCATTAGCAAAGCTATCGATGAGAAGCGAAACGGTCTATGTTCTTCAATTTTGGTAGAAAATGATGGTTGAAATGGGAAAGCAAGGTGGAAAGGCAAAGAAAAATTCGGAAATATGCATAATATTCCCATTTCGAATGAATGATTTCATTCCTTCAAATAATTTAAAAAACGTTACGAACAATCTTTTTTATCGGCCGCCAATAACCCAATGTTCCTTAAGTTTCAATCTAAAACTTTTCAAATATCTCAAGAATGGTAAAATAAAACGGAATCAAAAGACGCAAACATGCACTATTCTCCATCTAAGCGATGAATATAAAAATTATTTTATTGCATGATACGTGTTTGGATGGTGATATACGATACTCCTTTGGCTAAAATTGGTTGGATATGCTGAGGCTGGAATAGCAGATCACGTAATATAAAATACGAGGCTCAAATGCTCTTTCTCTCGCTTGATCGACTTTTCGAGTATTTCTCAATTCGATGAAAGTGTATTTTTGGTGTGCACGTGAAAATCGGTGCGCGAATGGAATGCGGGCCACGACGAAAGGAAAAAAGCAAAGGCAACGACGACGAAAGGCAAAAGCATTCAACACGCTCTATCTCTATCTCATACTCAAATATTCAATCGCTACGTGTTCTATATCTTCATTTTTTTGTGTGAATATATTTGGCAAAAGTATTTTTCTCCAAAAAGTTCGTTTTATTTCGGCGAAGAAAAATATGAAGAATACGAATTTGTGTCATGTTTGGATGATATAGTTTTTATGAGTTATATTCGGTGATCTGGGCACTGAGAGAAAAATATGATTCAGTAGTCGGTTTCGTTGGCAAAAAAAGACATGAGAAGCTCACAGGCATTGGCATCATCAGCATATATAAACAGAAAATCAGTCGAAAGAAAAATTGTTCGGTGTGTCTGTGTCTGTTTCTCTCTGTGTCTTCGTCTCTCTGTGTGTGTGCGGGTATTCGTCTCGCTTCGATTTCGTCGACAAACGCATACTCACACGTTTCCATAAATACGTATTTTCAGTTGGGAGCGATGATGTTATAAACAGCAAGAGCTGTTTATTCGCTGTGTCGTTCTATCACCGTCATCTAGCTATATTTATGCATTTTATTTTCTTCGTCATCTTTTTTGCAGCCGCATGCCGCCACCCTCTCACACCATCCCAGCATTTTCTTTCTACCGATTCGTTGCTCTCTTTTTTCCCATCCCCATCCCCACTAGATATATAATATTACCTTGATCAGCTATTTTTCGGTGACACAAATATTGTTATCACTTTCAATTCGTATTTTATTTTATTCCAATTTTTTTTGTTGTCATCCTTTGCGTTGCCGTTCATGTCATTTTTGTGTTATTTATTTATTTATAAATTATTTTCGTTGCCTGAATCTCAATCTACCTACATGTGCATCGGTATTTTGGTCCAAAACTAAAAATGTTACTTCGTTCCCTTTTATACCGTGAATTGAGCCTCATATATTAACCGTATTTTTTGTTGTTCGTCATACACAATTTTTCCACATCAATTTGCTGTTTTTTTGTCAATTTATCTGACATGTTATTCGAATGTGTCGCGTAAATGCGTATCGGATTTGAATGAAAAAATAGAGAGCGGGAGCTGAAGCAGGGGAGATGGAGAGAATGAGAGAATGAGAGCCGATGTGAGTGAGTGTATGTGTAGCAATGGCTGAAAGAGTAAAAATCGTAAAAAAGCGATTTTGATTCCCATTTAATAATATCTCTCGTTGTCGCTCAGAGGTGTGTAGCATTTTGTTTGCATGCTATCTGCATTTTGGCATTGTGCGGCATCGGACAATATTAATGGCGACTGCCGACTGTGAGTGAATGAGTGCTTGTTTGTGTATGTGCGTTTGTTCATTTTGTTGTGAATACACACAATACATATATCGATTTATGCCTCGTTCGCTTTCTCTCTCTCTCTCTCTATCCTCTTGCTTCGTATCCATAGCCACACGAAATAACCAACGTGAAATGCGATAAAAATATAAATGATGAACCTAAAAGGCGTATGTGTCAGTATACTTAACATGACATATTCACACACTTATTTCAAATGAAACCCATCATAAATTTTGGTGGTGCCCAGATTCAAAATGATATACGCATCAGCATTCATAACTAATATTTTATTAATATTGTCGATTTTACCATTCGTTTTGGATTTTTCGGGATGACAGTGAGGAGGTGGGCACACATTCGACAATGCTCGCATTTCGCATTTCTCTCTCTCTCTTTTCCTCTTCCTCTCATTCGTACAGATTTTCGGATATAAAGCTTCATTCGGTCCCATTCTTCCCATTTAATATGATGAACGGATCAAATGTATACATTTGACTGATAGATGGAAGCAATTTAAATCTATACCAACGCTGTCTGAATATGAATTAGGCACTTTGTTATTTGTTTTTCTCCGATGTGTGTGTGTGTGTGTGTGTGTGTGTGTGTG